TATGCATATAACTTCTTTGGTTAATCTCTTCCCACCCTCCACCCCCCTTTACCCTGCCCTCTGAAATATGATCGTCTGTTGCCTGCGTCAATATCTCTGGTCTATTTAGTTCATCAGATTCTTTTGCTCATTAGCTTCTTGTTAAAGAAGACCCTTCAACTTTTCCTGTAGTGCTGGTCTGGTGGTGATGAACTCCTTTAGCTTTTCCTTGTCTGAGAAGCTCTTTATCTGACCTTCAATTCTAAATGATAGCTTTGCTGGGTAGAGCAATCTTGGTTGTAGTTCCATGTTTTTCATCACTTTGAATATTTCTTGCCACTCCCTTCTGGCCTGCAAGGTTTCTGTTGAGAAATCAGCTGACAGTCGTATGGGTGCTCCCTTGTAGGTAACTAACTGCTTTTCTCTTGCTGCTTTTAAGATTCTCTCTTTGTCTTTAACCTTTGGCATTTAAATTATGATGTGTCTTGCTGTGGGCCTCTTTGGGTTCCTCTTGTTTGGGACCCTCTGTGCTTCCTGGACTTGTAAGTCTATTTCTTTCTCCAGGTAGGGGAAGTTTTTCTGTAATTATTTTTTCAAATAGGTTTTCGATTTCTTGGTCTCTTTCTTCCCCTTCTAGCACACCAATAATACGAATTTTGGGCCTCTGAACTTGTCTCAGAGGCTCCTTATACTATCTTCATATTTGTGGATTCTTTTTTCTTTTTGCTCTTCTGGTTGGGTGTTTTTTGTTTCCTCATGTTCCAAATTGCTGATTTGATTCTCAGCATCCTCTACTCTACTGTTGATTCCCTGTAAATTATTCTTCATTTCAGTTCCTGTAGCCTTCATTTCAAATTGGTACTTTATTATGTCATCGATTTTCTCAGTTATTTCCCTAATAATATGCTTAAACATCCTTATAAACAAAATTCTGAACTTTATCTGTTAGCTTGCTTGGATCTATTTCATTTAGTTCCTCTTCTAGAGCTTTCTTCTGTTCTTTCCTTTGTGACATGTTTCTTTGCCTCCACATTTTGGCTGCTTCCAGGTATTTGTTTCTATGTATTAGGTAGAGCTGCTATGTCTCCTGGAATTTGTAGAGTGGCTTTGTGTAGTAGGTGTCCTGTAGGGTCCAGTGACTCAGCCTCCTCAGTCACCTGAGCTGGGCCTTCTAGGTGCCCCCCTGTGTGGGCTGTGTGCACTGTCCTGTTGTAGCTGAGCCTTGGTTGCTGTTGGCGTCACTGGGAGAATCTGACCCCCAGGCCAATCGGATGTGAGGACCAGCTGCAACTACGGCCAGAGAGCTGCTGTGCTGGAGACACCCCTATGGAGCAGGATTTGCTTCAGTGGAACTTTGGTGTTCACCAAGTGCGCCCCTTGAGTGTGTCACTCGTGGATGTGGTAGGGTTGTGATCCAGCGTGGTGGAGTCTGACCACCAGGTGCACTGTCTCTGGGGCCTCCCGGGAGGTGCAAAGTCAGCCTGTGCCTGTGCCCTGCCCACGGCCACCCAGCAGGAGCTACACAGCAAACCGTAGTTGGCTGCTACTTGTGCTGGGCTTGGCGGTGCCCAGGAGAGGCCGAGTTATGAGCCAATGTAGCTGCCGCTAGTGCCAGGCCTGGGCCACTTATCAAACCGTATGGGGCAGCTGCTGCTTGTTTGAGAGATTTTAGGAAAGTCCTAAGCATGAGGCTGGAGAGGCCACTTGC